TTGTCGTTCAAAACCTTCACTTATTACTATAGTAAAGAAGTAGAAGGAAAACACGCACCTGCAACATAAACCACATGAGTGAAGCAGTGTTGGATTTTGTTATTAATAACAAAAGACGGTGTGAATGAAAAATGTGGGAAAAGGAAATGGGAGGGAAGTGAAATTTTGATGAGTTCACTTTCTCAATGCACTTTGCTCTGATACCTCAATTGGTAGAAGAAAAAGAAAATCTTTATGTATATATAGAAAAGCTATCTTTTAGCTCTTACAAGAGTTAAGGAAGAAGGCAAGCCTCGCCGCCGTCGTCCGTCGCTCGGCTTCGGTCAAAAGATTTGATTGAATTAATCTTTATTGCGACAAAAAAATTTCAAATATTTAATTAATTAATTAAATTAATTAACGAAAATTCAACTTCGTAATAACCCACCCGCGAAAAAACCCTGGGTCCAGTCCGGTCCGTTTTTTTTCCCGGATTATTTTAAAACCGTTTTGTTTTCCCGTAATTTCCCCACCTGTTTTCAAACCAGTGCCGTGGCTGTCTGAAAGTTGCCAAACCTTTTCTAAAACAGTGCAAATTGGCTATAAATATTGCTTCGAATCCCAGAATATTTAACTTACGAAATTTTGCTGATTATCTTCTTCTTCTTCTGCACAAAAAAATTCCACGTGTGTTTTACAGTCTTCGAGTGGTTCGCTTTATCTGTGTTTGGTACCGATACGCTGGTGATGTTAATGTTCACGCCCGGATTTCCCACCCTCGAAGTCGTCTGATGCGCCTACTAATGATGAGCTAGCAAAGCCAACTTAATTAGCAATTTCATTAAACACTATTCCTTTTGACAATTACAGCTTAAATAAAGACGACGAAATTAGAATCATAAGCCGGAAGACTTAAATGTAGATAGATGGTCAATAATACAGAAGTTTTCCAACACATATATCTCTACCCCGGGACATTGGAGTCACATTACTCACTTAACATCTAAGGAGCGTACTACATACAAAGTATGAAAGAAACATAATCTGTTTATCTCGGGTTACAATGGAGACTGACAGCCAAATGTAAAAGATGACCGGGAGACGCCGGGCCTGCGGACGCCTGCAGCTACCTGGGTTCTCTGCTGGGCTGAAGGTCGCCCCCGTGCTGAATGCCTGCTGCTGCTGCTCAATACCTGGACCTGTGCAAAAATGCACCAAGAGTTAGCATCAGCACAACCGACCCCATGTGCTGGTAAGTGCCTGGCCTAACCCGGCGCGAAGTAGTGACAGGCTAACAGGACCTACCAAAAAACAAACCTGTGCAGGTATATATGCTATAAACAAGTACAATGAAATAACAACAGAAAATACCAGCTAAGGCAGGACGGGGACATGCTTAGGGAAATACAGACGATGAACACCAATTTATCAGAAGAGTAAAAACACGAAACTTACATCCGATTCTCATAAATCTATATAGTGCTCGGCGTGCCAACACGTCCCATTTCATAATACATTATATATCTAGGTGGCGGTCGTGCCACACGATTCCCATTTCATAATATAATAAGTGGTCGGCTGCCTACCTGATTCCCATTCATAATATTAATAATGTGGTCGGCGTGCCACACTGCATCCCATTTCATAATGTATATATATGTGGTCGGCGTTGCCACCGATCCTTTACATAATTATATAAGTGGTCGGCCGTGCCACCACGATCCCATTTCATTAATATATAAAGTGGTCGGCGTGGCCACACGAATCCATATTATAGTTCAAATATCTGACTTTGTAAAGAAGGCCCCTTTAGGGGAATTTTGACACATAACACTTTAACCCGGCAAGGGTCACAGCTAAACAGCCGCCCAAATATCCCGGCAAGGGAGAGTACATAATAATAGTCTACACGTGCCCGGCCAGGGAATATATCACAACTACACTCCTCACTTTTAAATCACTTCTTTCTGAACTAATCACATTCTCGTTCGAGCCAACGCTCAAAATATACATATCACAATCTTCCTCAACCTGTTACATTATATGAAAGTTTATCATTAAACAAGGATTGTGTTCGCATCATTCGAATTAAAAGCAATTAAACTCACGGTCATGCTAGACTCCGGTGCATAGACACCGTCACCATCGCCTATACACCATACTCCACATTTTAGCAAGTAGCAAATAACGCCCCTAATCTCTATTCCCTCAAGCCAAAGTTTAGAACAAACACTTACCTCAAATGCTCACAACTCAATCATCCTCTAGTATAGCTTTACCCTTCGGTTCACCACCAAACCGCTCGAATCTAGTCACAAATTACATTGAGTGTTATCAACAAAAGGCTAATCTAATAAATTGAATGCGATGATTCTTCTCTAGGGCATTCCTGCAATTCTAACGTTTAGTTGGGGCAAACATGAGGACAACAATACATAAGTTTTCTTATTCCTTCTTCTTCGCACATTCTAGAACTGTTCCTCTTCCATACCTCCACTCTCTCTCTCTCTCTCACACATAATTTTTGCCCCTTAGCTCCCTCCAGCTTCTTACCTTTTGTTTCTTGTTTTCTTTTCGAAATTCCAATTTGCTTTAGTGTTTTTGAATTTTTTATTTTCGTCTTCCTCTTCGAAATCCATAGACGATATTTTTTCACGTCGTGGCAGACTCTACAGAAATATCTCATGTTTATTGTAGAAGCACCCGGGCCTTGGCTCTTTTCTTAATTGATTCTGCGATGCATGTTCTCTCTTTAATATTTGGTGTCAAATTTGTTGGTTCTGTCCAAAGTGCCTCAAAGGATATTCTCTGACCCCATGGTTAAAAAAAGTCCCAAATTTATGACAGCTATTGTGCAGTTCTTGAGCTTTTGGTACATTTAGTTAATTGATTTTGCATATGCATGTATTTATTGACTATTTCTTTTCGATTCCGTAGTAGTCAGTCATATTAGGAAGAACTCAATGATATAGAGAAAGACTCTGTGAACAAAATTTTAAAAGTGCAATCTTAAATTGAAAATTAAGAACTATTGGAAATTTTGGGTGTTCTGCCCAGTTATCAACCCTTCATTTTCTTGTGCAAATTTGGCGCCCAAGTATATATTTTGTGTGCTGTAAGGATTACAATTGATAAAAGAAGGTTTAAGCTAAAGCAATATCTTATGATACATTAATACAGATTCACAATTTTTAGTATATCTCAGAGACCAACAGAAGTTAGAAGAACGAGCTGGAAATGTTGATGTAAGATCAAGAGACATTCGGAAGCTCTCATTGCAGTCGTGGTACAACTATTACAGGAGGTACTTTTATTTTTAACAGTCTCTTGGACTTTTAGTTACTCTGATTTCTTCAGTACATTTCTGTTACTTTTCAAAATGCTCCATTGCGCATTGGCTTTTTGTTATTAATGTTGAGGCACGTTATTATGGTGCGAATAAAGAATTGAAGCAGTCATTTTGATTTCATCGAGCAATGAATATATGTAAACTACTCTATAAGGACTCTTTGATTTTCTTTTGTAGTTTGGACTAAGAAATAACCTATCATATCATTACTGAAATACATCTGCCATTTTAGAAAATGAATGTGATCTTTTTTTAAGGAAAAACTGAAATGTGATTTCTGGTGAGTGCTTTATCTAATAAAATGACCAGTGAAATCACTTTGATAATTTATCTTTGTTATGGAACTATGGAGTTTACTGATATAGCTTATTATGTTAATCTTAATCAAATCCTAGTGAAGAGCATCTTCAATTGAGCTTCTGAGAAATTTTAATGGTATATTTTGTAGTTTCCTGCGGGAAAACTGAAACTATAGATTGATGCAATCATGTCACTTTCTATGCTCACAGGTTTGTGCTTTCTGTTTCTCAGCTTCCAGTTTGCATTTTATTTTATGATGTGCTTATTAGTTCAAGTATCATGATCATACTTAATGAAAAGATGGCCTGCTATATCGTTATTTAAAGAGAAAATATGTGACTTTTTGATAATATGGATAGTCAAAAATATAAATTTTTGTTTTTGGTTCAAACGAGTATATTGATCTTGTTATTAAGTTAGATGAGTATAATCTGGCTCTAATTATTGTGTAGACTGCTTTTAACTCTCCACATATTCAGGTCAGACACAGAAGTGTGTTAAACTCTTAACAATATTCGGATATAGTTTGTTTTAAGAATTATTTACTTGCTTCTTTTTTTGCATTTTATATGGTATTATATTTTTTTCCTCTGTCTTGATGCCAATGCTTATTGATTTTCTTTAAAATATTATCTCAATGGTGAAGGGAAATATAGAAAGTTAACATGAATGCACTTATACAAATGAAGAACCCCAAAAAATATATATTTGAGCTTATGACCTGGTATAAACCTGATTCTAAGGCATTGGCAAAGTATTGTGCACTTTACACGTCAATTCAGGTAGCAGCAATTGCGACAATAGTTGCTCTGCACTAAAAATATGTCAGCAAGCTGTGATACTTGGGATTATCGTGCTAAGAAATTGATATTCCTTGGTGACAAGCATGCAGTGATGCGAGCAGAAATTTGTTCCTTCCCCCAGAGTGATTCTCATGTTGCAAATTTGAATGACATCTATGTTATTATCTTTTAAAGATGAATTGATGGAATATTAATCATGAGCCATGCAGTAGAATATTACCATACCATAAGTGGAAGTAATGATTAATCATGTTCATATTTTTCTCTCATTAATGTGATCGGGTTTCTGGTTTGCTGTGTTGATCTAATTTGCCGAGGAAGTTATAACATGATCATCTGCAATTGTGTAGATCCAAAATTTAGCTTTTAATTGACGTGCATGTTGTTTTGTTATACACGGAATTATGACGGAAAAGTGACTCCTGAGGAGCTAGCAGCTGCAGCCAACTACTTGAAGGATACTCTTGGCAAAGAAGGGGTTCAAGAACTTATCAGCAACCTTTCCAAAGGTACATGTCAGTTTTTAATTTTGTTCGAAATTAGAAAGATCCATGCTTTAACTGTTGATTTATGGTTCTTATTGGAACTCCTGTGGAAGATCTTCACAAACAAATTGACATTGCTTAGAATTTGGCTTAAATAACTAAAGCTTTTTGCAGTTTAAAAGCCTTTTTTGTTGAGTCACTGTTTGTTTGATTGCAATTAATAGATATCACATTTGATGGTCTTTCTCTGTAGCTTTTAGTAAAGACATTTTATGCGAGTTTATTAGAAGAGTTATACCATTAAAGAAGTCACATACTAAGCATAGTCCTTGGATTAAGAGTCTCAAACCTCAATTGTCATCAAAGAGGACAGGTTAACTAAATAATTACCCTGTGTGTATTCAAATCTATGACATCATTGGTAGTAAATAATAGACGTCGGAAAAGTTAGCAATAACATTGTATGGACACTAAAGATTCCTTATATAACTACCTTTTTGTGGTTCCTGATTCCTGATAATGACCCTTATTTTTTTCCCAGTTGTTTTTAATTTAATTCATTTTTCCAGAACAGTCAGAGAACTGTCACCTCTTACTGTGTCTGTTTTTTCCTTTTCTTTTAACATTTTCCCATTCCCTATAATTTCTTGAATTGGATGTTTAGTTCACAGAGGATTTTCTTCTTTGGCTTGATACTGAAGTTGTTGTACTTTGTGAATGAAATAAACACGTCTTTATAAGCAGCAACTCTTGCTAGGACCTATAATGGAGATTTATGTATTTGCAGAAGTAGATACTGCTAATGTTCATCCTTCAAAATGTAAATGCTTTAGCAAAAAAGTAATTTCATATGAGACCCGCACAATTTAAGATTAGGATCAAGGGTTTACAAATGATAAACTATGTGCTAACGTTGTTTCTATTTTCCAGGATGAGCATACAGATTATTACGATGTGTAAAAATAAGAATGGAGATGTAGAGATGGGCGTATAGATTATTACGAATGTGTATAAATGAGAATGGAGATGCAGAATTAGCAACTAGAGCTATGACAGATAGGGATCTAATTAAATTAGGAATGACCAAAACTACATTGCTATTCAAATTTTTGGGTTCAGCAAGGTATTTAAACAACTTTATTTACAATGTCTCCCTTCACCGTTGCTTTTCTATCTAATGTAACCATTGATTACTCTTTTAGGCAGTATGGAGTGTGACAAATCCTATAATGATTTATTTGGCAATATTCTTTTGCATAGACTATCAGGAATCTGTGAGTTGATTAATCATGGGTAAAGAATTTTGGTGATATGACTTGTTGTAGATGAGAAAAAATTGTTGAATATTGTTTGGCTCATACATGGCATAAATCTGCTTTAACCTGAGAACAATACAATACATTTATGATAAAGGGTGAGATAGATGAGATCCATTCTTCATCGTCAAAGGTGTTGGTCCTTTATTGTCTATTTGTTGCCGTTATCTTTTTCTCATGAGCTTCATAATCTGGTTTCTTCTACGAGTAGTTTGTCCATCACATTTTGTTCTGTGTTTCGAGTTAAGATGTAATAATTTTTTTTTAATTTTTAGTAGGCCATAAGAGGTTAAGCCAGATCTACTCATATGAATCCACATGCAAGAAAATAAATTCTTTTATTCAATGTATACACATAAAGAATGAAACTAGACAAATAAAAAGGTAAAAGTAAGATGATTTACCGTTCTTATTTGTAATAGGCATTTCTGTTAGAGCTATGTGTCTTTACATACATACATACACATGCATATACATACATACTAAAGAAAAAATGGACTATTTTTTATAAGTTGGAAGAATGGTAGATAAAGGAAGAATCATTCTTATACCTATATACTGTGATTATTTGCATCATCCAAAATTCTCCTACTATAACAGAATTATTTGTGAACACTATTTCACAGCAACTCAAATTACTTGCTATCAAACTCTAACCCCAATGTACCACAATATTTTCGTCATTATGCTAATCGAATAAATGTATCGACCAGAACTATGATTCACCACCCAAAAGAAGCTGAAAGTAAAGCATGATATTTGTACCTTTTTACTTCCCTGTATATGGAGCTTGATATCTTGCACAATAGAAAAGATTATGGTTGCAAGATTAGATACTCCTAGGAGTTATGTGTGCCTCTGCTAAATTCTTCACCATCTAACTGTAAATAAGTAAAAGTTCATAGGCATGAGAGATATTCTTCTCATGATTTAAATTAAAGCACCAAAAAATAATTCATCAGTTTGAAATGAATTTATTTTTGAAATTGTAGCTTTCCTAGAGAGCAAAGAAATAACACACCCTTATTGGAGTAGATAGAAACACAAAAAGCTCTATCTAATATTGGATTCTCGCGTGCACAGGCCACGACATGCTCTCGGGCCCGTGCGTAGCACGGGAGCCTACATCTAGTTTTAACTATATAATAAGTGGAGGTTCTGAGGTACGAAGAAGGGCATTTTCGTAATTTGAGGAATTCTTGTTGCTTTCATTTCTAAACACGTGTTATATAAGTGCCACTTTCTTTTTGCCCTGTTCCTAATCTACTCTTCTGTGTCTCACTCAGCTTCTTTGTTTCTTGGCTCTCTCAGTATCAATATTTCCTTCTCCATTTTTCTTGTAATTCATGTTTGAGTTTTTTCTTCGCTCCATCACATTCTTTCATACTCTTTAGTTTATTCTGCTCCTCTGCATTCTACCTGTTGCCGGTGAGTTTCGATTTTATTTTTTGATTTTGAGATTTTTTTAGTTGATTTTCTAATTGATTAATTTGATATTCTTTCAGATTTGGTCTTTTTCTCTGGTATTTAGTTTATAGTCATTTTGCATGCACCGATTTTTCACTTTATTGACAATGCCATCTCCATGGTGAGCTTCTTTTACAACTGAAAATATATTTCCGCAATGGGCGAAAGCCTGACGGAGCAATGCCGCGTGGAGGTAGAAGGCCCACGGGTCGTGAACTTCTTTTATCGGAGAAGAAGCAATGACGGTATCTGGGGAATAAGCATCGGCTAACTCTGTGCCAGCAGCCGCGGTAATACAGAGGATGCAAGCGTTATCCGGAATGATTGGGAGTCTATTCCCCATGGTTTTCCCCTTTCAAGGGTCTTTTGATTAAATTTTTATTTTTTTATGTTGGATCTTTATTCAAATTTAGTGTTTCTTCCCTTTGTCCTTGACGTGGTGTTTTCTCCAAAAAATGTTGATTCTCATGTGGATGCACTTACATTTACTATAAGGTGAAAGCGAAACAATTGCAAAATATAGATACAAGGAAGTAGCAGGCGAAGCTTCATATTTTAAAAATCTGCTCTACCGGAGAAATTGTCATACAGTGTAGTGCAGGTAATCTCAAGTTTAATTTTATGTTTTAATCATACATCGGAAGTTTGCTGGATTTAATTATACGTATCATATATATCTTAGATTTTTTCAAGTACATGGTTCTTATTTCAGTATGTATGTCGGTTTTGTTCTTTTTAATTTTTGCGTGAAAATAGTTGATTTCTGATGTTGTCATCGTATTTCTAAACGTTTACCTATCATAAAGACAGAAAGGAAATATAATTTTTAGTTGGATTAGGCTGACATTGATCTTTGTAACATAGGATCAGGTGAACAACAAATAAGTCTATGGATTATAATTGGTTTTAGATAAATTTTGAAGATATCGTACTCCAAGAATGTATGGAAATATGTAATTAAAACAAAGAGGGAAATAATCAGCTTTATTTCATTAGTACAATTATAGTGTTACATTTGGCCTATGAACCACTACAGCAGCAAACAGATCCCTTGCTTACTTTTTTTTACATCTTTGATAAAGCAGCAAAAGTTGATTTAAGGCTAAGTCAGTCAATTATTATGCGTTGCTACGATGTACATGACATGCATATGTTTACAGGCGTACATGACTTAATTTGGTACACATATATCAAAACATAACGACAAGCCAAAAAGGATTCAACTCATTATCGTTTCAGCGTCCATTCCATCAGTTACATGACTCTTACATAGTATGTTGGCTATCAAAATAAATATGTTCAAGGCGAAACACTAGAGAAAAAGTTCCGTCATTCTTGTATTTGTTTTTTAAGAAAAAGCTGATGTGAGATGGTATATATCACCACATGGTCAGTTCATGGAGAAAGGTAACAAGTTATAGTTTGAATTGCTGTGTTCGATAAGTATGGTGGCCATCAAAAGATGTATACACAGTTCACAAACTCAAAATCAAGTTATAGTTTGTACGTACTTCCAGCTAGATTTTTTTGCCAATAAGACAATAAAGGTAAGGAAGGTTGGTAGGAACAATATAACAGAGTACAAAGAGTATTTGAATGATGGTTAAATAAATAAAACACAAAAATAAGGAAATTATTGCCACCAAAACACACACTAATATCGCCCATTTATCCTGCATCAGTTGCGGGTTAACAAAAGAGACTTCCTTTTACACACAACATTGATTTGTTGTTTACTAAATCCAAAAAAGAGGAGCTTTCCATTGAGTCTTATTCTTTTCGTTCCATTTTATGTTGTTTTGCCAACCAAGAAGCCTAAAATACTTTCAGAAACTTTGCAGGAGGCAAAGTAACTACATCACACGCATGTAAAACTGTTGTAGTATATTCTCGGATATAGTGGTTTCGAAATAAAAGGTACATTGTTTATGGCTATGAATTCATAAAAAACATCTGAGAGGGTAATTGGCTATTTGAATTCGCATTTATCTTGATGCAAATATAAAGTTTGCAACGTTTAAACAAGAGATTGGAATAAGCATGTTTGAGGAGAGAAAAAGGAATAAATAATCCAAGAAACCCTATATTTGCTCAGCTTCTTCTTATGACATTAATCGACACCGTGTTTTAGTTTTTAACTTTTTAGGAGATTTTGATTGAATGATATGAACACCATATTGCATAGACTTCTACATGTTTCAAATGTCTTATTTTACCTTTTTATAATATATGCTTTTCATAGTTTGTCAAACTGCCATAATTGCTAGAATGAAGTTTTCACATATTCTCCATTTCTGGTTTGAAAACATGACGGAGTTAAAGATATCACTTGCTGCATATTTTTACAATAAGACTTCACCTTCTAATAGTTTCCTTATGTAACAGTTCCGTTTTAGGGGAGGTTTGGTGTGGGAGGCAAGGGATGAACAATATAAACTACACTTTCTTCCCTTGTTATAAATCTTATGCATAGTGGTTAAACTTTTACTCTTTCTTATGTTGGTATGGTTTTTTTCTGATGATAACCAGACATGTGCCGCTCGTTTCACAGCATGCCCTGAAGAGCAGATAATAAGCTGTAACCAAATTGATAGTGAAGATACTGATAATGAAAATCAAGACGAATCAGTTGTTGCAATGATTGAAGAGCCAAACTCAGGTATTATATTAAAATCACTTTCTAGATTTCTCTTCCTTGGCTCCTACTTTCCTTGACACCTGTTGTGGTTCTTAAATTCTTTTTTAGTTTTCTAAATTCAGTACGACTTGAAATGCTACTCTGATAAATTTTCAAAAATAGAAAGGACACAAAATATGAAACATAATTGCAATTCCATGAGATATAAAAGGCTGGTGAAGGCTAACCTCTGAACAAATATTACCGCAAATTGGGTGTCCTGCCCACCCCATTTGTCATGGATTAGTTTGGCTCTTAAGGTGGTAGGTTTAAAGGGACATTTGTTTCCATCGTTTAATATCGTCTTTATTATGCTAAGGCAACTTCCATTATGGAATTTATGAGAGAGATATTGAAACTGTTCTTCCTGGCCTGCACAGGGAAATCAGATCGTTCATATATAAGTAAAGAGGCTATAAGCAAGCTGGTCAATTCTTTTTCACAGATGACTACTTTGTTATAGGTGGACTACCGGACCATAGAGTCAAGCAGTCAACAACTCGGTCTAAGATCTAGCTTAAAAAATATGTGATGAACAAGAAAACATGGTTATTAATGATGCAATAACTAGTATTTCCCTTCCTTTTAAAACAAAAAGTATGATTTTTCCCTACTTATAAATTTAGTGCAAAGGCGGCGGTGGTCAAAGTCTCATTTTCCTGTCACTATATTAGTGTTTTTTCTTGAGAGATGAATTTGAGTTGATATTTCCTCAAATATTAAGGTGAGTTGCATTTTTTGAGGAAAATACTTATCCTAATGAACATATTTTCTTGAAAAACAATTGCTTCTTGAGGGAATTCTCGATTTAGCTAATGAGTTTAAATGGCGAGTTTGATCTTTCTTTCAAAGAGGAATCTTGAAGAGGCAATAATGGTAATTGTTTTCTTGAGCTATAAAATTATTTGGACACGGAGACAATCAAACCCTTATCTCGGCGTGGTAAACCCACGATGGTATGTGATTTGAGGCTTTTCTATCACATGCAACAGGTTCTTCTGCAGCAATGGCGTGGTTTCCTTCTCTTCTCCTTGTAAGAAACAGATATGAGCCTCAATTGTTTTCTTGTTAAGACCTTGTTGAACTCTTAGAAACATAGACCTACAGATTACGAGCACTATATTTCATGTGTGTGCGTTTTAGTAAATGTTGATTCCACCCAGGTGGATAAGTCTTATGATTGGATATTATCATTATTTGGGGTTCTTACCTCTTTGTTTCTTTTTCATTTGCAAATTACTTAGTTACTCATTGAGAAGCATTGTAGTGAAAGATGCATTTTGCATTATTCACATTAGATTGATATTTTCAGATCTACTATCAAGCGGTCATTGAGAATAGGTGAAACTGAAGGGTACGTATCTGAAAAATAAGGAGTAACAACTATTATTGCTGGCACAGAGCTACCAGTGACACCAGTAAGTGTCAAAGTCTTCTAGATATATATAAAACATTAGTGATACCATTCACATTCATATTGTGAAAGTGTGCGTTCGTGGTTTATACTTGCTGGTGCACTGCAAAAGAGTGAATCAACTCATATATATGAAGATGCCAACTCAATATTTTCTATCATTTAAAGAAAATTTTGTTTTCTGTTGAGTGCAATAATATCATACGATATTGAAAGTTGGTTTAATATTACTTAGATCCAGGTTGTTCATATGTCCCTTTTTTTTCCGTGACCATACATAACGAATTGATGTGGTATATTCATATCATTATATATGAATGGTAAGAACTAGCATTCTTATTGAGACTATAACTCATAGGGAAGAAAATCAATTTATGGATGGAATCAGATATGAAGTATTTACAGACAAAAGTATTCGGTTATTTGGGAAAAATCAATATACTTCTAATGTCGAATCAGGATCAACTAGGACAGAAATAAAGCATTGGGTAATTTAGGGAATTATCGATAGGCTAACAAAAAAGGACAATTAGGGATTCATTGGAATTCTCACATTTATTTGGAAGAATACTTATTTCGGATGGGTCACACCAATAGGATGAACCAAATGAGTTCTGCATCATGAACTTTGTACTGCGCACATTACTTAGACGGGTTCTAGAAATTCATTCTCCTTTTACAGTGTTTGAGTTTATAAAGGGTTTTTGGCAGATTTCAATTTGTCCCATTTGAAGCTATTGAAAAGTATATAACAAGTAACATGTGTCTGTTTAGTGGGATCCCTTGGGGGAATAAAATGCTTCTCCAGCTTACATATAATCATATCTTCTCTCTTTTGATAGTTCTCTTTACCCCAACTTTGCATATCTTCTCTCTTTTGATAGTTCTCTTTATCCCACCTTTGAAGGAAGGGGGTAATTATCTTTCAGTTCCAGGTACTTATCAATCAGTTAAGGACTCCTCCTTAGACAACATCCTCCACATTCAATTCAGCAACAATGATAAATCAAGTGCCTGCAGATGTATGTCATCTGCATAATAAGTTTTTCTTTAGACTTTGCAAAGATGCCAATGTCAGATTTGTAACTGTTATATCAGTGTCTCTCAGCCAAGCAAAGTAAAGATGATCTCTCAGTAGCTTGGAGAAAAAGGAATAGCTTTTCTTAGATGTTGGAATGTCATTGAAAGTTAGGATTGCTGCAAACTCACAATGTATCCTGTAGAACTTTGTATCAGAATGCATGAAAAAACTATTTAAGTGTTAACATGTTGTGCACATTGAATCAACTTGATAGTAAGTACATTCCTTTCTGTGATCCTATGAAACACTTCAAATAAGTATGAAATTATTTTTTGGTGTTGAACTTTTAAATTAATCTTGTGGATGTGCACACAAACAGTAATGTCGGCATAACCCGTGCAATTGCACGGGCACTGGCCATCTAGTATATATTATAAGAAACTTTTCACTGATAATATAATAGTAGCCAATTATAAACATAAAACAAGTCCAAGATATTGAAATGCACATACAGTGAATGATGTGGAGGCCCCAAAATTAAATGAAATGTATTTTGTCATGTGAAATGGGTGTGTGGATGGCCTCATAAATACATTTCATGTTGTCACTGCATAAAATTTAAAACTAATTTAGGTATTATCAAGCATATCATTTTCCAACAAAAAAGAAAGCAACTAAATAATAGAAAGATAGCCAACAGAATTTATGGACTAGGCCGACCCATCCCCAAATGATGTTAACAAAGGTTGCTTCATTCATTATTCAATCTAATCTAGTCAATCTAATGCACTTCCCAAAGTATGAGTGATGATTCAAGAATCTATCAAACAATGTAGAAATTATTTCATGTTATAAAAACAATAAAAGAAGAAGAGTAGTTTTGCAGAGAACAATAGGGAGAGAGAATTCTTATTGATTTTGGGATGAATTACAATGGGAATAGAACCTCTATTTATAGGGAGAGGGTGACTTAGCCACCAAGCAATGAACCCTAGAATCTCTCTAAAATATAGACATTCACCATAAATAAAATTCTATTTATAACACTCCCCTTGAATGTCTATTCAACAGATAATGTGCCTCGTTAAAAACCTTAACTAAAATAAAAACCCAGTGGGAAAAAAATTCTAGTAAAGGAAAAAGAAGTACACATATCTAACAATACGCCTTTTGTTGCCTCGTTATAAAACCTTGCAAAGAAAACCCAGTGGGGACAAAACCTTGTTAAGGAAAAAGAGTTTCACGCGTATTAACTCCCCCTCATGAGAACATCAATTCACATCCTTGAGCCTTCGCATCCCAAATTGTGCACTAGCTTCTTTGAAGGTTGACGTTGGCAAAGATTTGGTGAATAAATCCGCCATATTAACTCCAAAAATGAATATGTTGCACCTTGAAAATCCTCGCTTATCACATTATCATTGGCTTATAGTTATAGCAAGATACATATGTGCACAAATTGCACTGAGGATGTAGTACTTCAAGATCAAGAATTGTATATGCTTCAAGCAATTTAAATCCTTCAAGGATTGTCATATAAGTCATATTATAGACTTTTAATTAGATGCATATCAAGTTTTCAATGTCATGCTAGACAAATCAAGATATCGAAAACTGATTGCACATTGTAACGACCCGACCCGTCGTCACGGGAGTTACCGCCGTTTTCCCCGTTTTATGCTTCTATATATTTCATTATATGTGTTTGGAGAATTTGAAGTAATTCGGTTAGAGTTCGGTTAGAAATGAGACAATAAGTCTCTTTATGAGAAGGTTAGTTTGGAAAAGTCAACCGAATGTTGACTTATGAGTTAGAAGGCTCGGAATGGGAATTCCGATGATTCGACTAGTTTCGGGGATGATTTGTGATTAGTGAGCGCAATCGGAATTGAATTTGGAGGTCCGGGTAGAATTAGGCTTGAATTGGCTAAGGTTGGATTTTGGAGAATTCCGGATGGTAGGTGAGATTTTGATCCGAGGGTCGGAATGAAATTCCGAGAGTTGCAGTAGCTCCGTTAGGTGATTTTGGATATGCGTGCAAAGTTTCAGATCATTCGGAGGTGTTTAGGACGGGTTTTAGATCAAATGCAAGTTTCGGAAGTTTTAGTTTAACTTAGGCTTGAATCCCGTGTAATTCGATGATTTTGGATGTTAACGATAGTGTTTGAATGATTGGAACAAGTTTGAATAAGGTCTGGGGTGTGTTGGTGCTATTTGGTTGAGGTCCGGGGGTTAAACCGGAGAATCTTGATGTTTCGTTGCAAGTCTGGTGCACCTGGCTCTGGTATTTCCGCATCTGCGGAAAAGGAGCCGCAGAAGCGGTTACCGCAAGATTGCGGGCCTAAGAGATCAGGATATAAGCTCGGTCCAATAGGACCGGCGGTAAATTCGCAAAAGCGGACGGGGTATCGCTTCAGCGGGTCCGCATAGGCGAAAATGAAGGCCGCAGAAGCGGATGGTTGTGACCGCAAAAGCGGAAGGCCAAACGGATTTAATGAAAAACCGCATAAGCCGGTCATATGGCCGCAGAAGCGGTCCCGCATAAGCGGTTACGGACCGCAGAAGCGAAAACTGGACTGGGCGACAGAAGGGTTTTAAAATAATATTTCATCCGCGACCCTTTATATTTTTTCCTCCATTGTTGACGTTCTTAAAGAGCTTTGAACAAGGAAATTCGAGGGTTTTGACTGAGAATCACTTGGAGGTAAGCTCTATTGCCTAATTACTCGAATTTATGGTACATTTTCATAGAAAATCAGTAGAATTTCATCAAAAACGGTCAAGCTAAGGGCTTGGAAAGCTGTGATGTAAAATAGAATTTGGAGAGTACCAAACGAGCTCCGATTGTTGGTAAACTTTATAATGCACGGACTCCGAGCGAGACGAGGAATCTGTTGGTGTGATGTTTCGGAATTTTTCGAGAGTGGCCCGGGTTTTACCAACTTCGTGAATTTTAGTACTTTTCGAGTAAGTTTTGATTGGGTTATGTTTCTTTAACCCATATTTATGTATTCCGCTGTGATTTTGACTAGATTCGACGCGCGAGGAGGTCGATACAAAGGGAAAAGGCATTGCGGACCAGTCTACGGCCGGTATAGAGAGTGAGTAGTTGGTGTATATGATGGCCTGAGGGTTTGAACACCGGCTTATCACATATTGTGACGCCTATTGTAGGGCGTGACTCGCACCCCATGGCAGGTGCGGGATTAGTTATGACTGGGGATTAAGACTTAGTCCATCCGAACAAGAATGTTTCTATATTGGCGACTGATACGCACCCTGTATTGAATATATCTGGGCTTATGCCGTGTTTTGGGGCCTTGTGCCGATCTGTAGCATCCTTAGAGGATGAATGTCATTGTGATAGCAATGCTTTGTATAATCATTGATCTCAGTCCTGTGTTTAATCACTGTTATGAAAATGCTAAGGTCACTTTTCTGAAGTAAATATCTAAAGTATATTCTCCTTAATAAATTGATGGGAAATTAAATTTTGAATCTGTTACGTGACTCATATGCAGTATTGTGGACTGAGTATGGATCGGGCTTGCACGCCGCAGCGAATGGTATGATTATATTGCGCTTGGGCTGAAGGAGCCCCTCCGGAGTCTGTACACACCCCCAGTGAGCGCCGTCGACGTTAAATGGATCGGTCTAACGCACCGTAGCGGTCATGTGCATTGCATTGGCATCCTTACATTATACTTGGCTGATACATTTGAAGTTGTTTTTGCTGTTGGTTCGTAGTTAGGTGTTGGACTGTTAGTTTTAGCTTTACTTTGTGCATTTCGTGGATTTCTTATCTTCAGACATTTTAATATGCTTATTACTCACTGGGTTGGTAGTATCTCACCCCCTACTCCCTGCACCTTGTGTGCAGATTCAGGTACTGCGGGAGCTTAGTTGAGCTAGCCGCCTGGATTTCCATAGTTCCAGGAGTGGGTCGAATAGCTGCTAATGACGTCCGCAGGACCCGACTCCTCCCCTTATGCCTTTTAATTATTTCCGTACTTTAGAACATACTTATTTTGAGGATTTTTTTGACTCTGTATAGTTAGAGGCTCCAGACTCATGACCCCAGGTCCTTTGGGAGTTACAGTTATGTCAGCATATTCTCGTATTGTTTTAATTGAGTATTTCAAACTATGAGTATTAATATTTGATTTTAAGTATCTGATTAATTGGTTTTGAAGCTTTGTTGCTCGGGTCTAGAGAGTAAAGGTCGGGCTTGCCTAGCATTAGTGTTGGGCGCCATCAACGTGACGCGGTGTGGCGGTCGTTGACAAGTTGTGTATCAGAGGCCTAGGTTACTATGGCCTCAATTAGTCATGAGCCGGTTTAGTAGAGTTCTCGTGGAACGATACGGGACGCCTGTATTTCTCCACGGAGAGGCTGCAGAAACCTTTAGGAAAACTTCCCATTCTCTTTGGAATTCTGTATCGTACTACCTTGATTCAGCTCTGAGATAAACTCTTGAAATTCTTCCACGTCTGTATGCGCACGCGATCGCGCTCAGTAATATATTTGCTCTTTGATGGCTTGTGATTTCCCCGATCGAGGGGCGAGATAGTATCATCTCCGTGAGTTCATGTTCTGGGCCAGTCAGGAGGACTTAAGTTTGCCTATGGCTTGAGCACCGAGGTGCTGATTGATGTGAACAAGTGATTTGAATTTATAGTTCAGTGTTTGTCCCTAATTGTAGGAATTGGCGGCTGCATATCCAGCTATGTGATCTGTGAGTTTGTTCAGTACTGGAGGATTATCTACGTCGATCTTGTAGTTGACGAGGGAGTCTGCAGGATAATAGATGAACTGTATAGCGTTCGATTCCTAATTGTGATCTGTTGTGTGCCTCGAGTTATGGGTGCGTGAAGAATATTTTCGTATCTCCAAGTTTGGAAAGTTTAAGTGCAATACTTGCGGCGGTAACGAGTTCAGACTCAGGAAGACTAAACTGGATGTATTATGTGTTATTCGGTGGAAGGTATTTTCTAACTGTGTCATCATTCGAATAGGTTGCAACCCATGCCCATTGTGTCTAATTTTGATAATATTAATACATGTATTAGTTATTGAGATATAATGTTGT